TAAAAAATCCCAATAAATGTATATTGATTGCTTTGTGTGAAAGTTACATAGCGTCTACAAAACTATGGTAAGATCGGCGTGTCGGCAACCCGTGGCTCCAGAGCTGCATGCGGCTCTTTTTTCACCTTGGCTGCGGCTTTCCGTGAGCACACAGTGCCCACCAGGTGACAGGCAATAGGGCAGCAATGGGCAAAACTACGGCCCCGGCTGACCTTTTAATCCGGCCCACGGAGCTAGACTCACGTTAGGCTCCTCTTCACAGGTTCCCCCGCCCTGTAGACCGGAGTAGCATGAAAATTCCTGTCTCCTATGAGGAATCAGTCCTCCTCTAGCGTAATCTGCGCATGTGCCGGAAGATACACCGAGCCGGCTGCTAATGCCCTGGAAACTGGCACCATGCGCAGATACTTCGAGGGGGACAGTATCCTCATAGTGAGACAGATTATCTGATGCTACACCCGGATACGGCCGCGGGAACACGGCGAGAGGAAACGCACGGAGCAATGGTATGTGAATTGTACCCAGGGGGGCCTTGGGGAACTTTAATAATGGGGGGATGAATTATATGGGGGATGAATTAACTATACGGGGGATGAAATAACTAATATGGGGGATGAATTACTATGGGGCATGAATTACTATATTGGGGGGGTGAATGAAATTACTATATGGGGCTTAATTACTATATGGGGGATTAATTACTAGATGGGGGAATGACATTACTATCGGGGGATGGAATTACTATAATGGGGGATGAATTACTAAAAGGATGGGGATGAATTACTATGGGGGAAGAATTACTATATGGGGGGGGATGAATTATATGGGGATGAATTACTATATATGGGGGATGAATTACTATGGGGGATGAATTACTATATGGGGGATGAATTACTATGGGGGATTAAATTACTATATGGGGGATGAATTACTTATGGGGGGATGAATTACTATATGGGGGCTGAAATTACTATGGGGATTAATTACCTATATGGGGGATGAATTTACTAATGGGGATGAATTTACTATGGGGATGACAATTACTATATGGGGATGAAAATTACTATGGGGGATGAATTACTATATGGGGGATGAATTTACTATGGGGGAATGAAATTAGCTATATGGGGGAAGTATTTTCAGTTTTAAAAAATGTGGCGTCTCAAAAATAAATTTACAATCGTCGGTTTTTGGCGAGATTTGGCTCAGTTGAAAATCTTAGGTTGGCACCACACACTGGAACCTAAGGCTATGAATTTGTGATTATGACGATAACCCTGTGGCCCTGATTAACCCTTTGCTTACTCGGGCCCGCTTAAAAAACCCCCTTCATGACCACGAGCGCTTTTTTGCATATAAATGCAGTGTCGGATTTGTTTTAAATGTCGCAATGGTTTCTGGCGGCTCCCAGTTCTTGTTTTCCCCCTCTCGGGAAACGGTCCAAGTGGCTCTTTATATGTCTTAAAGTTTGCAGACCCGCCTGGTACATAATTTTTACGACATTTTTTTTTGTCTATACGGCACTGCGTATATAATCATAACTGAGTGTTAACGGACTCAAATGTGGAAGAGAAAAAGGGTCCTAATTGCAAATACTCTAAAAATAAGGATATAACACTAATGATGATAGACGGTTTGTATGTGATATCCTAGATGATTTTAACACAAATAGAGCATTCTTTTGGTGGGTCATTTGAATTCACCCTTGTGCACTCGCTCAGCTTATCTTTGCGCTCCGGCGCTCTCCCATAACACTCAGACTCCCAACAATTCGCTTGGCAGAAAACGCATCGTTTTCTCTTTTCGTAACATATCACACAACACAATATTTTCTCACGCTTTTGGTCATAATAAAAATATCTAACTACCTCAAACAAACTACACAATGCACGGGCTCACTATCTCCTAAATCTATTCTAGCCATAATGCTCACTCGCCTCTGCTACAATCGCCCGTTTTGGTTCAAATAAATCTAAATCCATCTTATAAAGTGTATACCTTGAATTGCTTCTCTTTGTGAAATGCGGGTTATAGCGTCTAACAAACTCTATGGTATAGATACATGGAATTTAACATAGCTTCTTACTTTCTGACTGCCCATCACATTTCGTGAGATTGAGTATGCTAAAATACCAGAATGGGATACAGACACAGTCTACCATCAAATGACCCCTTTTCGGAAAAATTAGGAGCATCCTAATGGCTAATTATGCTGAGAGGGCCTATTGAGTCCATGGCAAAGATTAATTATCTTTCCCACAAAGACTAGTTTTCTGGATAATGACCCAAAAACCTTTTTTTTTTTTTCTTTCTCACAAAGGTTGTCATTTAAATGATATTAATTTTCGTCGCACAAACCCAATGGGTACATGTCGGAATTTACACCCCCAAAATACATTCCGCTACTTCTACTGAGTATGGGGATCACCAACAAGTGGACGCTTTTTTGGGAAGCTTAAGCCCACATACAGGAAGCCTGAAATCCATTAATTCGGGGAACCACTGTGATAAGCCTGTATGTGCGTAACTTTCCTCATTACACTTCCTCATCTACCTATCACAGTTGCGAAGGCCCTGATAACAATTCCAGGGATAAGCCCCAAACCCCCCCAAATGACACCCATTTCTGGAAAGTTAGACACCCCAACGGAATTTAAAAAAGAGCATGGTGAGTATTTTGCAGATCTCATTTTTTCTCACAACGGTTGTGAAATATAACAAAAAAATAGATAATAATAAATGTTTTTGTTTTTTTTCTTCATTTTTCCAAAAACGGAACATGTCATGTGAACAACAAATGTTGAGGATCTGTCAAAAAAAATACTTACTGTGCTTTTCTCCTCTCAAATTCCTCTGGGCGTCTTTCATTTCTACTTTCCCAAAAAAGGGTAATTTTGGGGTGGTTTAGGTGCTATATCCTGTGGCATTTTCAGGGCCTCCGATAACTGAGATTAGTAGTATTCTTTTTTGGATGTGTAATGAGGATATAAAGCCCTGAAAGGTGCTTATTGGATTTTGGGGTCCTGTACTTGGGGTTGATAGACATGCAAAAAAGTCTCTCACATGTGGGTACACCCCATACTCAGGAGAAACGTAGCAGAATGAAAAATTTGGTGAGTAATTTCCCACATATAACCATGGCATGGTCGTGAGCAGTAAAACATATAAGTGACAATATTTGTGTAAAAAATAGAAATATAATTATTTTTGTAATTTTCCAAAAACTTTTGCTAAAAAAATAAATTCTTCTATTGATTCAACGTTCCTCTCAGCAAATAGTTTTGGGGTGACTACTTTTCCAAAAAGGGGTCATTTTTGGGGAGTGGGGGCGTTTTATGCCCAGCATTAGAAGTTTTATGCCACACATCATTCACTCTTCTAACCACCTGAAGACCAAGCCTTTTTGTTCACATGAAAAAAATCAGTATTTTTTGCTAGGAAATTAATTTAAACCCCCAAACATTATATATATTTTTTAAAGCAGATACCCTAGTGAATAAAATGGTGGTACTACAATTTTTTATGGCACAAGTACTCGCGCAGAGATTTTTCAAAAAGCAATTTTTAAAAAAAAAAAATACACTTTTTTTTACTTTTAATGCACAAAAAACACAATATATGGCCAATTGTTTGGTAAAATATAAAGATAATGGTTTTATGCCGAGTTAAATAGATACCAAACATGACATGCTTTAAAACTGCGCATGTCCCGTGCAATGGCGACAAACTGCAAACATTTTTAATATCCATAGGCAGCGCTTTAAAAGCCTTTAAAAAGCCACCATTTTAGATTTACAGAGGAGGTTTAGTGTTAGAATTACTGCCCTTGATCTGACATTCACGGTGATACCTCACATGTATGGTGCAACCGCTGTTTAGATACGGGCACAGGGTCAAGGCTTGTGCACACAGGTGTGCACACATGGGAGGGGCGATTTTTTTTTTTTTAGTTATTTTGATTTTTTTAAAAATTATTTTTACATTGTACCTTTCATTTTTTTTTTATCACTTTTAATGATGCTATAACAGGGAATGCAAACAACCCCTATAACTTCAATGGGCATTGTCATATTCTTTTTTGAGAAATCTGGGGTTCTATCAGACTATAGATATCTCCTCTGCCCTTACATTATCTAATCAAACCAAAATCGGTGTGATCAGATGCTTTCCCAATTTACAAATGGCGCTGTTTATATCCTGCGAAACTGAATGTGATGAAATGCTTGTAGCTTCCGAATTCTTAGACTATAGAGACGATTGGCACCATTCTGGTCTCCAATCAGCTCTATGGTCAGCTGGCAGAAACACCGACTGCATTCTCAGGTTCCCCTGATGGCACGGGACTGCCCGAGAAGGCCATGTGGAAGGCAGCGGGGGAGGGGGGACATCATCTCCCACTGCTTATAAAAGCAATCTTGCAGCTAATTAGCCACTAGGATTGCTTTTACATGAAAGCCGAATTAACACTAAACACCGCTCGACAGCTTAAAAAAACGATACCAGGATGATGCCTGCAGCTGTAGGCATCATCCTGGTATAACCATTCAAATCCAGTGATGTATCAGTACATTGCTGGTCCTTGTTGGTTATATATGCTATGTTCTTTTTTTTTTTTTTGTATGCAGCCTGTGGACTGAATGAAAAAAATGAGAAGAAATCTATGCCAGAAAAAGTGTGTGGTATGCCCACTGTTAGAATATACCGCCCCTGCATCCACCACCTTCTAATGGTGGGCACACATTAGGTCCACACTTTGCCACAAGTGCCAGTTCCAAGATTAAATAAATGTCTAAATAGTGGCACGCTTGAATAAAAATTGTCCACGTATAAGTGGTACCCCATATGGAGAAATGATGACACCAAGTCCCAAACTATCTTCCCCATGTAGTCTGGGCATCCACGGGCGGGCCGGGCAGGCATCCACGTTGAATCTTTTCAGCGTAAATCCAAAACTTATAAGTATAGCCTGTTGTCCTCTCACATGTCTTCTACATCTTGACCCCATATCTGGCACGCGCTTGCAGGGGAGAAATTGTTTGAATGCAAGGGGGCCAGAGAAAAATTAATAAGGGACTCCTCAACGCAGATGTTTTGCTGGGAATGTAGAGACATCTGCAAATTTTAGGTTAAGGTGATTTGCGAGGGGCTGAATTTTGTGGGTCGCCCGGTCAAATTCAGGTTCGGGGAGCCGGTCAAATTACCCCGAGGATGACAGAGTGTATTGTCGCTCAAAAGCATAAAAACACATTATACTCTCATATCTATGCCTGGCCATGGCAGCAGAGAACACGGTATATGATGAATTGGGTCTGCGGACCAATACAACCGCAATTCATTTCTTTTAGTAATGCCCATGTTGAGGGTTAGGCCCAAAAAAAATATAAATTTAAAATCCGTAATGAGTTTCCATGCGAATGTCTGGCAAGGTTTGAATTTGGTGTTGGCGGCGATAAATTGTTGTGCATATATAAACTGCTTTGATCCACAATCAACGCATACAGATATTCTGTGAAAAACAGCTCCAAAAATCAAGGAGGTATGTGAAAGACCAAGATGTACTAGACCGCTGGTACTCGCCAGTTCACCAAAAGAGGTAGCGCGGCACTAGTACTGGCACTCTGCTGCATATGAGAGTCATCAAAATTAAACCGCTAGTGCTAACAGAGATCAGGCCTGATTCTGCGAACACTGCGGTTTTGTGTGTGCAATGTAACAAGTGACAGTGACCTACTGACACTGCACTTGCTGGGGGAGAAGGGGGGGTAAGCGTAGGGGCTAAACGCAGGTGTTGGCAGGTGCTGGGGTCTGATCCCGCTTACGCTGCTGCGTTTTTGGGGACGCTATACTAATGTGAACGCTGGTATAGTGCTGACCTGATCAAAGATATTGACCCGTTCAGACATTATACTAGCAATTTAGGTTTATTGTACATGAGCGTGCTCCTGGCAATCAAGGTGTTAAATGTGATGACTGGTGTACTGATGGGCAATCTGACGCTATCTGGGAGGGCTGTGAAAACCACGGGAGTGCGAATCACGTATATATATATATATATATATATATATATATGTGATTTTGCGTACCCATGCCGCTGGTGTAGCAATATTTCTGCTGTAAGCGGTTACAGAAGAGGTTTGTGTTACTGTAGGTGTGTGCTGGACGGGGACAGGCTGATCGAGAGAGAGAAACTCTTCTCTCCCTCTCCAGCTTATCAGGAGCTGACAGGCAACTGACAGGATAGCAGGGCTGTGTATAAACAATGCAACCCTACTCTCTGTCAGCGATCACCGCTAATCGCGGGGAAAACGGCCGGTAATGACCGGCCGTGACCCGGCGGCTGAGACCCGCTGCTGACACCCGTGGGACAGGTAGGGCAGGCACGCACCTCGCGCACGCCCCCTACCTGTTTTGCAAAACCACGTTTTAAAACGTGGTTTTGCGCAGCCGTGCCACCCTGCAAACGTACTAATGCAGAGGCTGGGGCTGAAGAAGTTAATACAAGAGAGGATTTTGCTCACTTTAGAAACTGCAGCTTGGCATTGCATGCCATTATTAAGCTTGTGATCTACCAGAAACCCCAGATCCTTCTCCACCATTGATTCCCCCAGTTGTACCCCCCCTAGTATGTGTGATGCATGCATATTCTCAGTCCCCAAGTGCATAACCTTACATTTATCAACATTAAACCTCATTTGCCACATAGTTGCCCAATTAAACAGTGCATTGAGGTCGGCTTGTAAATTGAAGACATCCTGTAAGGACGTTATTCCACTGCAAAGCTTGGTGTCATCTGCAAAGACTGAAATGGGATTTTTAATCCCAGACCCTATATTGTTTATAAATGTATTAAAACGTAAGGGTCCCAACACTGAACCTTGGGGTACACCACTGACAACCCTAGACCATTCAGAGTATGAATCATTAACCACTACTTGCTGAATACGATCTTTTAGCCAGTTTTCTATCCATTTACATACGGATTTTTCCAAGCCTGTAGACTTTACCTTACACATTAGCCGTGTGTGGGGAACTGTGTCAAACACTTTTGCAAAATCCAAGTATACCACATCCAACATCACCCCTCTGTCCAAGGTTTTGCTCACCTCCTCATAAAAAGAAATCAGATTTGTTTGACAACTTCTGTCTTTCATGAATCCATGCTGTCTGTTGCTTAAAATATTTTTTTCCAGCAATAACTCATCTATGTGGTCTTTTATTAACCACTTCCAGACTGGACACTTTTACCCCCTTTCCTGACCAGGGCATTTTTCAGCTTTTAGCGCTATCACACTTTGAATGACAATTGCGCGGTCATGCAACACTGTACCCAAATTACTTTTTTACCATTTTTTTGAGACAGATAAAGCTTTATTTTGGTGGCATTTATTCACCGCTGGGATTTTTATTTTTTTTTGCTATGTAAATGAAAAAGTCCAAAAATTTTAAAAAAAAGTGTTTTTTTTAAATAAAATTTTGCAAATAAATAATATTTCATCATAAATCTTTGCCAAAATGTATTCCGTTATCTTTTTAGTAAAAAAGATGGTGACACTGTACTACTTGTGGGGGGTGATGAAGATTTTTTTTTTTTTTTTTTTTTTTTACACTGATTGCTTTTACACCCATATAGGATGTAAAAGCAATCATTTCTCTTTCTCTCTGTCTGCATTCTTGCACTCATTGAGAAGTACTGAGTGAGCTGTGATTGGTCACAGCTTGTCACATGGTACAAGGCTGTTGTGAATAGCCTTGTACCATGTGACCTCTGTGATCATTCACAGATTTCACATGTAGTAAGCAATGATGTCACAAGTGACATCTTGCTTACTACTTTGCATGTGATTACTAATTGGCCAATCAGTGATCACATGATCGGGACCTCGTACAGAGGTCCCGTCCGCCGATCGGTGTTTTACTGTGTCCGGAGGACACAGCCGGCACCGGATCGCGGTGCTGCGTGCTCCGAGGGAGCGCGCACAAGCAGGGTGCGGGGAGGCCATTTATGAATGGCCACCCGACCCTGCACTGCCACCGTCCAGCCGTTTATATGCAACGGCCGGTCGGGAAGTGGTTAAACTCTCCAGTATCATCCCAACTATGGAAGTTAAACTAACCGGTCTGTAATTACTTGATAAAGATTTTGACCCCTTTTTAAATATTGGCACCACATTGGCCCTACGCCAATCCAGTGGTACTATGCCACAGCACAAAAAATGGAAATCACATTATTCTTAATGGTGCCTGTTCACATGAATGTAACATTGTGCAGTGCATAGTGTGTTTTTGGCCTCACATACTTTAACCGTTTCAATACGTGCAATTGTTACACCTTCCTGCCCAGGCCAGTTTTCAGGTTTCAGTGCTCTCACACTTTGAATGACAATTGCGCGGTCATACAACATTGTACCCAAACTAAAATTTGATCATTTTCTTCACACAACTAGAGCTTTCTTTTGGTGGTATTTAATCACCGCTGGGGTTTTTATTTTTTGCTAAATTAACAAAAAAAGACCAAAAATTTTGAAAAAAAAAACACATTTTTCTTTGTTTCTGTTATAAAAGTTTACAAATAAATAATTGTTCTTCATAAATTTAGGCCGAGATGTATTCTGCTACATGTCTTTGGTGAAAATAACCCAAATTAGGATGTATTTTTTAGTTTGTAGGAAAGTTATAGAGTTCACAAACTATGGTATAGATCTGAATATTGATCAATCCTGAAGTACTGACAGCCAATCTAATATCTTGAGGTCCAAGAATGTCAGAACAGTACAGATATCCCCCAAATGACCCCTTTTTGCAGAGTAGACAGTCCGACGTACTTCATAAGAGGCATGGCGAGTTTTTTGAAGTTGTATTTTTTTGTCATAATTTTTTGGAAAATGAAAAAATTAAAAAAATTATTTTCACTATTTTTTTTTTACATACTGTCACCAGTGCAGTACAGCGTCATCATATAACTGGCATGGCGGTGAACAGCGACACTGACTGGTGACAGTATGAAAAAAAAAAAAATATATTTTTTTTTTTTTTTTATTTTTTTTATTATATTTAATTTTTTATTACATTTTTTTTTATTTTTTTTAAGATTTTTTTTCATATTTTACTATGACCAAAATAGTACAATGTTACCATAGTAACACTGTACTACTTTGGGGAAGTGATCAGTATTTTTTTTTTTTTTTTTTTTTTTTTTACACAATTTGCTTATAGCAAAGAATTACTTTGCTATAAGCAAGCATTTACCTGAATGAAATCGATTCATTCAGCTTTTTTTTTTTTTTTTTTTTTTTTTTTTTTTTTGTGCTTAGCTGTGATTTGGTCACAGCTAATCACATGACATGTGCATGTGATTAGCTGTGACCATTCACAGCTAGGCACTAGTATACAATGGATGGCATCATGAATGAAGCCATCCATTGTATACAACTGTCATGTGACCTGCTGTGATTGGTCACAGCAGGTCACATGGTACCGGCAACGGGAGCCGGTACTCGGATCTGTCATCGGCCGTGTCCGAGGTGCACGGGCGGTGACAGATCGCACTGCTGCGTCGCTCTGCAACCACGCAAACCGCGCATGTGTGGGAGCACGCCAAATGGCGTGCACCCGGAAAGCTGCAGCGCTTTTCAAGCCGCCAAACGGCCATTGGCCGGGCGGCTAATGGTTAATAGGAACGCATGAAAAACGCATGTACATGTGTTTTTGGTAAGGTTTTAATGTTCACCGAAAAAATTAATAAAGCATTAAAAAATGCGTAAAAGCGTGCCATAAAAACATACTGGAAAATGCATGATTAGGCAGCAGCACAAGTATGAACCTAGCCTTAGTGATTTATTAATGATTACATTGCTGCATTCTTTTGTGTCTTCTATATCTGCCTAGAGCTCAGCATTAAAGTTGAAAACCTATTTTCATATATATCATCCTCTTTGCTATAATACCATTTGAAGCATCACAAAGACTTGATGTCCAATAACTAGAGCCTGAGGAATACATGTACGGTAGATAAAAGAAGTGCTTGTTTCTAATAGTCATTTACTTGGCTGCTTACTTTAGTATTGCCATATCAATAATTCTGGTCCTTATTTGGGCTATTGTGGATAATGGTGCCTGAAAATGTTAATAATATTATATTAAGCCGATATTATTTTTATTGTACTACTATTAGTTTCTTCTTTACAATATTGGAGTGAGGATGACTTTAAAGTGTTACTGAACCCAGGACCCTGCATTCACTATATCTGGTCTCCCACAGTACACAGAATATGGAAATGCAATTATTTTAGTAAATAGAAACTGCTAAATACCTTTTCTCATCAGCAGTTAGAGCAGTCTTGTGACTTCTATCAGTGTCCGGCACAGCA